GGGCCGAACCAGTTCAAACCCCTCGCTCAGCCCCTTTCCACCACTCCCCACCAACCCAGCTAGCTAGCTGAGCTGGTAACTTCTAAATCCCAGCCACGTCTCAAGCCATGAATGGTGAGGGTTTTGTTTTTTTAAAGTCCCTAAGAAGCAAGCTTACGTGGAGTGCTTCTGCCACTCGAAGGTACTTGGTCTCCTCGGTGGTAAGGCCCTTGTGGGGTGTGTAGCCAGCATCTCTCAGCCCTGCCTGTTGCTCAAAACGGTGAATGCTCTCCTGGGTCTGTTCTGGGAACAGAGGAGATGACCATGGTCATGCCCATCCCCCTGCCCCATCAAAACCGGGGGACATCAACACAGATGTCCACTGTTCTCCCCCGGAGACCACACTGGCCCCCCGAGAAGGAGGCTGCTCCCAGTCAGGCCTCGTAGCAGAGATTCTAGACCTCCCACAAAGCTTCCCTGAGCAGAAAGAAGCCTTCGCGCACAGCAAGCCAAAGAACAGCTCACTCCTAAAGGGGCAGCCGGATAACCTCCAGCGAAACACTCCTTCGCTTCCTCTCCTCGGTACCCTGTGGCATTTTCTTTGTATTTAGAAATGCAACATGGAGAAGGCAGCTGACATTCAGAAACAGTGCAAGTTCTCCAAATATAAAGTTTCCTCTGAGAGACCACACTCATTAAGACCTTCCACCAAAGAGAAAGGGGCCACATTGAGGCTGGATGGCACCGAGGTACCAATTAGATCCAAACCAGAAAGAATGTGCCTTGAACGAGCCAAAGTTTACTGATCCACTGCTTCCCGTGTGTGAAACTGCCCATGACAGGGCCTGGCACAGCAGACAAACTGGACTGAGGGCCAGGTCGGTCTGACCTGCTTATTTCATAATCAGTTGTCAGTTACACTTGGAACGACTGACAGCGGGGTTTCTGAGTCTTACACACACATGACACACCCCTGTGGACAGGACTGTGGCAGCTGTGGACCAAAAGCCCAGACGCCGGATGTCCTTTATGACTTAGTCTTTCCTCTTCTAAGGAACCATTTTACTTCCATCAGAAATAGAAGCAAAGGGGGAAAAAAAACAAACCACTAAATATATAAAGACGTTTCTTGCCAGGTAGTCACCTGAAAATTTTAAAAGCAGGAAAGGATTTAATGAATACGGTACGCCAGTACTGGGGTTTTAAATGTAGCTTTTTTTTTTTTTAAGACTATAGCAACATCAAAAGTTCATGGCAGTATTAACTGAAAAAAAACCAGAATGGTTTGTCTATTATATCTGCAATTATATAAAAATACGCATATACGTGGAACTGACTAAGCCAAGTAAGCATCTGAGTGACAGCAGTAGCTGCCGGGGTGTTACCATGTTCTACGCTGTTGGAAAACTCTGTTTTCAATAAAGAAGTTATACCTGCACTAAAAGAACAATGACTACGCCCCCTAACGTGGCCAGAACACATGCCCAGCTTGCAACAGGCAAGTAGTAGTTGCTGATTCAAATAGTGCGTTTATGTGTGAGTAAGAAAGAGTCCAAGCAAGCATTTGGACTTTAGTTTCTCGGGTAAACTCTCCAGGAATCGCCCAAGACAAACTGCTGCCCTCCCAGAGCAGATAAACAAGGGCTCCCCCTGCCCTGGCAGGGGCAGAGCTGTGCATCTAAGGACCGGTCACGTCCCCCAGCAGAACCAACAAGTCTGGTTTAGTTGTTATAAGGCTTTAAAAAAAAAATGCAAGCTCTCTTGTTTCCAGTCTTATCAGGACCACAAATCACATATTCTCAAGACTAAAGACGCTGGAGGCACCAAACTTGCCTCAAGGTCCAGAAAGAGGAACAACTTTGAGCCATTTAATTAAAAAAAAAATCAGTGCAGGGCAGGTGGGAGATGCCTCAGCGTGTCGCCTTCTCCAGCAGCACTTGCGACAGTAGCCCGCAGCAGCTCCCAGCCGCTGGGCGCTGGGGCCATCCCCCTCCCCTCCACCGCCAGCCAGCTCCCCCACCTCGTGGAGGGGAAGCAGTCTCCACAGTTCCCTCACTTGCTAAGGCCACATGATGGACGTGGGAAAATGAGACTGTCAACAAAGCAGCGGGAGTGCACCTAAATCAACTCAGATGCTTAACGCTGGGCAGATTTTCCACCTAAATGCAGCCTCAACACTGGTGACCCAGAGCCAGACTGACCTCTGCCAGGCATGGCTAAGACGCACTAGGGCAGGCGTCCTGGCAGAAGCCCCCGTAGCTGGGCTACCCGGCTTCACTGCTGTGAGGGTGTGCAGAGCGCTTACTTGTGATCAGAGAGCTCATGATGACACGGGTAGCTCTAGCCTTCACCACGGGGACCTTGTCCGTGCTGTCAGTGGCCGATGGCTGGGGCACAGCAAGGGAGGAGACGCTGGCCTCTCCTTCCTCCACCTGTTCAAGAGGGGTAAGAAGGCACTTGAGCAGGGCCAGGGAGTCACACACTAAGCTCACTCCTTTGGGAGTAATCGGATACACGGGGGGCTGGTCATCTTCACCTGGTCAGATACGTACTATCCACAGTGACCACCAGTAAGACATTACATGAACAGCCTGTGTTTATAAAAGTGGGAGACACAGAATCTGAAGCTCTGAGGTCTATTATCTTCCCAGACTGTGTCCAATATACTCCACTGCTGTGCCTCCAAGAATTCAGAAGACCCACTGCTAAGCACCGCCTATGTACCAGGCACGAGGCACGCTTCTCCTGAACTCATCACTGCATTCCCGGGGTGCTTCTCAAACTTGGCCGAGCACCAGAACCCCCTGGAGGGCTCCTCAGACAGACCGCTGGGCCCCAACCCAGGACCGAGTCCCTAGGCCTGGGGCGGGGCTCAAGGATCTGTTTCTAATGACTTCCCATGAGGTGCTGATGCCGCTAAGACCACGCTTTGAGGCCCACTGCTCTAAAGGTTCAAGGAATGGTCTTTTAAAACAAACCCCCAAGTCTCCGTAGCTCCTCACTTTAACATGGGCCAGCTGGAGCAGGCCACCTTCTGAAATCTAAAAACAGGGACACCCATGCTCAGGACTAAGCGAGAGCGGAGAACGGGCTTGATTCTCCATTCTCTGCTTCTCCAAAGGAACTGAGAGGAAAAGACGGCAGAAAGGAGGGGAGCAGAAGGAAGTACTGAGAAGCTGTGTCCCTGGTTCAGATAGGATTTAAACTTCTCAGCTCACTGGACTGAAAAGCTGAGCCTGTGCTTCCCCCCTGGGGAGGCGGCTGCCGGCTGGGATGGGGCGAGCCGCGACCAGCGGAAGATCGCGTGCGGTGACTCCAGCTGAGCTCTGCACAGACAGCAGTTGTTCCAAACTGTCAGCTGTCCCGGCCGGGGCGCAGCAGAGAACCAGAAGCCTCTCCTCTGCCCAGCGAAGCACGCTGCAGCCTTTGTGAGTGCAAACGGGGAGCGGCTCTTCGAAGCCCTCTCAGGAGCCTGGCTGATTTTTGGCTCCGGTCCCCTGAGCCTGCTGCTTTGGCACCACAGGCAGGCTGCCAGGGTCCCTTTCTCCTGGAACTGCCAGCACTTTTCACACAAAATGTTTCCACCTCCACAGCTGACTGGGTTGGGTTTCAGTAGATAAGGGATACAGGGATATAGGGAATTTACCCCGGAGCTGGAGGGGACGCTTTCATAGAAAGGAGCACCCTGTTCTGAGAGCTTGGGGTTGGGGACAGGGGGAGGGGGCCACTCATTAGAAAGGAAAGATCAAATACAGCTCTTCTGAGTGAAAGTTAGGCTGGGAGCCAGGAGTCACAGCATCGGCTCCACATTTACTACGTGCAAAGCCTTCTGGTCCTCCCTAATCCCCACAACACCTCCAGGACGGAAAGCATTCTCATCTCTCAGATGGAGACACTGCGGCGCAGGGCTGAGGCTGTGTGCCAGGGTCACTGCCAGCACACACGCTGCTCGGGGACGCACACCCAGGTCTGCCTAAGCAGGTGCTTACTGGTACTTGCTGTCAGGACCTGAGCTGTCACAAAGCTCAAAGTGAAGCCAAACTGTAGCTACAGGTTAAAAGGATTCATCCGAACTGGGCGGGCCTGGCTGATTCAGGCAACAGTACCCGCTTCCTTGCACGCTGGGCGGCTGGAGGGTCAGAGGCGAGAGAGACACACAGCCCCCGCCGTCAGGAAGCGCAGGCTCCGGGAACAGCCTGCAACAAGCGCGTGAGAACCCACGAAGCCCAGCCTGCACAGAAGGGAGGTGAGAGCAGACCGGGGCGTGAGGAGGGATGTGCGTGGGTCAGGAAGGGCCTGAGGGAGGAGGCGGTGTGGAAGGGCATCTGAGGCAGGAGGAACAGCACGAGAAAAAGCAGAGCACGAGTTCAGGAAGGGCCAACTCCCCTCCTAATCATTTAGCGGGCATTTTTTTGGAACCCACTTTCTGCCAAGTCCTCTGCTAGAGACTAGACGGAGTACAAACTCAGGCAAGGCCCTGCCCTGAGGAAGCTGGTGGGGGCCGAGGAAGTAGCGGGGATTATGAGGGGGTCTGCCGTACACTGGAGAGCTCTAAAGGAGGGGTGACAGTCTTACTGGGAGGACGGAGGACAATCTTGACAGAGATGTTTGAGCTGAGACTTAAGACACCATCTGTCAGGCAGATGGAGGAAGAGGACAAGATGGGGACTGTAAACATTCCAGGCACTCAGAGCAGTGAGAAGCAAAGACTCAGAGGCATCAAATACCCTATTAAGTACAAGAAATCTTAGGTAACCTCCACGGGTGGATCATGGTGTGGGGGGACAGGACCAGGCTCACGCAGAGCCAGACTAAGGAGCTTGGATTTAATGCTGTGGAAATGGGGAAGGGAGTGGGTGGTGTAGAGGGGATGGGGGGGTGTCTCAAGTAGAAGATATGCCATTCTAGTTTTATTTTTTTTTAACTTCTTCCCCCAATAGAGGTACTGAGGATTGAACCCAGGAACTTGTGCACATCAAGTATGCACTCTACCACTGAGCTGTACCCCCACCCACCCACCATGGCCATTCTAGTTTTGATTTAAAAAGAAAAAAAAAGGCCCACCAACTCCAGCTGAGGCACAGAAAACATACTGGGATTGGTGGCTGCCCAATTCTAAATTCTATGGTGCCAGGAGCCGCTGACAGCTGCGGAGGAGAGGAAGCAGAACGGAAGGGCTGGGCTTGCCAGCAGCGGTTGGCGGGGACAGGTACCTCGGCAAGGTGCTGATACTTGCGCTCTGGAATCACCGGCTTCCAGGGGATGCTGCCCATGTCCGACGGAGGGGGAGTCATGGGCGCAGGGTCCTCAAGGGCATCATCATAGCTGAATGCCCGGCGGTACATCCCGATGGGCAGGGACATCTTGCCTAGAGGCCCGCTAGGCTCAAGAGCTACGAACAGAGACACCTGTCAGGATGGGTATCGGCAGCTTTAAGTTAATCTGTGGGCAGGAAAGGTCAGGAACACTCTTGTTCTGGGTGGGACACAGCAAGAACAGCCCATTCTGGAAGAGCTAAATCAGCCAAGGAAAAGGAATGGCACGAGTTCCTTCCTCTCCGCCTGACACTATGGATTCTCCACTTACCCCACAGCAGCCCTAACCCATTTCTATGGGCCAGGAAGCCAAAGCTCAATTTAAGTTTACCTGAGCAAGGTCACACAACTTCATCGTGCAGCGAGGGACCGAAGCCCAAACCTATCTGACTTCAGGGCTTGTGTTCTCGGTATCCTGGAAGCTGCCCCTGTGGCAATGCCCAGACTCTCAGCTCAGGCAGCACTGAGGATATGAAATCTTGTTCCCATTTCACAGATGAGGAAATGGAGGCCCAGCAGTGGCAAATCCTGTCTCTCCCACCTCCCCTAAGAACACGAGACCACTGTTACCAGAAATCTTTAAAACAATATGCTGTTCAGCACTCTCACTAGCTTTGAGTGATCTGTGTGACCTAAACAGCACAGCCAATTTCCATCACAGAAAACTGCTGACAAGCACCCTCACCCTCGGATCCTGCCCTTCCCATCCACTGGAACTGACCGGCCCAACGCCCGCTGTGACGCAGGCGCCCCACCTCAAGGGCACGCTGGGCTCTGCCAGACCAGGGAGCAAAGCTCATTTTGTTTGTTTGCTGTTCCTTTCATAGCAGAACTAATGTCCATATCATGCCTTCAGGGTGACATTTTCCTGTCACTAAAATTATACAGTCACGCTCCCCAAGACATTAACTTACGTGGCAGGCAGTAAATCTAAAACCAGGAAAGACACTTCATTTAAACAGCAAGGGGACCCAGCAGCTACCATTATTATTATGATTAATATTAACAACAATAACAAATTCATAGAATCAGAAAGGATTAGTGGTTGCCAGGAGCTGGGGGTGTGGGGAGGGACCCTGGGGGATGAGGAGTAACTAGTAATAGGACAAGGTGTTCTTTTCGGGGTAAGGAAGATGTTCTGGAATTAGATAGTGGCTTGTGAATATACTAATCACTAAACTGTTGATCTCAACTGGGTGAATTTTACTACCCATGAATTATCTCAAACACATAAGCAAATAATAATTACCACATACCCTTCCCTGCCAGGCACTTACACCCCTCATCTTACCTAACCCTCATTAAGCAGGTATTTTTCCCATTTTCCAGCTCAGGCAACTGAGGCACAGATCTTAAGCAACACCTAGCCAGCCCGTGTGCGGTGCTGGAACACAGATCTAAGCCGGCGCTCAGGCGCTCACACTCCACACCACAGGCACTAACCTAACGCGTGCAACCCTACGGCCAGGATGGTTACAGGGACTTCGTGGTAATCACGATGACAAGGAAAGACAAACTAAAACACACGCTGATGAAGTTAGAGACCAGACACGGATCCAGGCTAGGAGAGGGGGGGGGGGGCTCCTATTACAACACTGAATTTGGGAGCAATTTCAAAAACATAAAGATCCCTGCCAACAGTCAGCCCAAAAGCCTTCCGAAAAATAATAAAGTCGCTAGTATTTACCAGAAAATACACTCCTACAATTAGAGACCAAAAAAAATGGGGGACAGTAATGTACATTCATTTAATTTTTAACTCTCATTTTCATGTATTTTATGTTTTTGATCTTTACAGCAACACTCAGAGACAGGGATTATCAACTACACTTTACTGAGAACCAAAAATTGGATGATTCAGATTTTTTAAATCACCAGCCCTTCCCACTAAAACAGTCCAACGAGGGGTCGATGATTTCACTAACCCGGAAATTACTACTTTCTACAGACCCTGGGCACACTCAAGCTGCAGTGCGCATATGACTGTCAATCTGCCTTGAATCAGACTAATGCTTTTTTGGCCAGACTTTCATACCTCCTGCCCTCGCACCTCCTCCCCACTAAAAAGCAGGTGAGTTTAATCATTTTGGTACATACTACAAGAACTATGCAACTTATTCTCAATTTTCCTTTGAGACCGTAGGGAAGTGAAAAACTTGTCACACCTTTAAGTGGAATGACTGTTCTCTTTCCAGGAAACCTGGCTAGGTGGTTAATAAGATAATATTTAAGTCTATTAAGTCTAAATACTCTCCTGGTGGCAGAGAGTAACCATTAATACATGGTGCAGAAAAAGTGGTTTCTGTCTAGCTTAAAATGCTAAGGGCAAAACATAACTTTACCAAAAAGAATTAAGTTTACCAGGTACTTCTGGTTGTCTCGAAGCCATTGTAAGACCGCAATCCAGGTGCTTTTTCTATACAGAATTCGGAGCTGAGTCCCTGCCACCTAATAAAAATAACAAAGGCCATTTTCTTACAGTGAACACCAAAGAATAGCTCCAGTGCTGTTCTTTTGACAGGTACACACAGTTTTATGGCTTGTATACAAGGTTGAACACACATAAAAGAGCCAATGGGTGACAAATATGCCAAAGGAGGGGGGGAAGGATAAATTCAAAGGTCTCACTGCACCAGTCACTTAACATCATGAAATGACAAAGACACTCTACACAGTGAAAAGGTCATCTTACCAGGGTGAAATGATGTGACGATTAGGCTGACAGACAGATATTAACGAGGAACACTGTCCAGCTGCTGCAAATTAGCAAAGCTGCTCCGGAAGAATCCATCCATTCCAGAGGTTCTAAGAACAACAAACAATCAGCATTGCCACCGCCCTTCAGAGTCTGCCAAACTCCTTCCTGTACTTTCATGTATTTCTCCTAACAACCTTGTGAGAGGGACCATACTCATTTCACTTTTAAATAAACTGACCCACGATAAGGGGCTAGGTACCACAATGAGTAAATTCTTTCCTTGCTTCTACCAATGACTGATATTTTTTAGGGTTTGTTTGGGGTGTTTTTTTTCAGAGGGGAGTAGGGAGGAATTAGGTTTATTTATGTATGTATTTATTCAATGGAGGTACTGGGGATTGAACCCAGGACCTCCCGCATGCTAGGAACGCGCTCTACCACTGAGCTATATACCCTCCCCCCATAAGGGTTTTATACAACGCTTATCTTGCATTTTAACCCTTGTAGCAACCCTGCAGAGCAGGCATTGTTTAGCCTCAATTTAAAGAAAAGGAAACTAAAAAGCAGAAGTGATTTGTCCAAGGTCACAGATAAGTGGCCCATCTGTAAGGCTCCCATTTTACAGGGGAATCCAAACAAAGCCCTGAGAAAGCCAAGTTATTTGTTTTTCAACCTGCTACACCGCCACCTCTATCCTGATGGAGCTCAGAAAGCCAACTCGTTAGTTCTTCTTTACAGCATCCCAGAAACCACAGTTCCGCCACCCGCCAGGTCCAGGGAGCTTTCGGATCCAGACACATCCCCTTCCAGTTCCCGGTGCCCGCCCCCGCCCGCCCCCGCCGAGCTCTGACTTCTCCTTCACAAGACACAGGACAATGCCACCGGGATGCGAAAGACCAGGGCTAACTCAACCGCCTCTCCCACCCGGCGAGCCTGAGAAGAACTAAGGAGATTAGGACCGGGGCCTAACACAAGCCAAATGTTCCCCGAGGGCAGCGCAAGTAGGAGGCTTGCGAGGTGAGGGTGAGGAGTCGGGGTCCGGGCCTAGGCCGCTCTGGGGAAGCAGAGGCGCGGCCCGGTGCCAGGGCTGCAGAGGCATCATGAGAGAGAAACCCCACGGGGGAGGGGGGGGCGGCCGAGAAAACAGGGTGAGACAGGCAAAGTGCGGTCCGACCAAGATCCGAGCCTAGGTAACAGGATTGGAGAGAGACCGCCAGAGGCAGCGAGAGGCACCGAGAGGCACTGAGAGACCCCGGGCTCAGGCCTTGGTGCAGCGGCCAGCGGCACGCCCTCCATCAGCCTCGGCCCAGCCGGGCCTTCTGGTTACCTGTTCTTCCGCCGCCGCGGAGCTGCCTGCGGCCCGAGCTCCGGCACTAAAGATGCTCCGAGGACCCAAGTCTCTCAAGAGGCTGTGGCGTAATCAAGACCCAAGCCATGGTGTGAGCGGCGCTGTGCCCGTGGCGACACAGAAGGCCCAGAGCACCGAACACGGAGCAAAGCTGCCGGCGAGCAAAGCTGCCGGAACCGCCGACAGCTTTCCTGATAAAGCCTCTCGAGGCCGCGTCATTTCACGCGAGACTTGACCGGGGTTGGAGTAGAGGGCTCTCGGGGCATGCTGGGAGTTGTAGTCCACGATCGGGAAAGCCCCAAGATGTTCGCTGCGCTGCGCGGTGGTAGGGTCACAGATCCGTGGATGGAACCCGCCAGCTCCCAGAGGAAAAGCCACCCTTTACCAGCGCTCTGTGCGTGGGTCCGTGACAGGCTGAGGGCAGATGGAGATGGCATAGCAAAGTGACACCCTCAAACCTGTTCACAGAGGGGAAGTTGAGGTTTGAAGAGATGAGAAGGCACGCTGTTAATAAACAGTGAAAGCGGGTGGGTATAGCTCAGTGTAGAGCACATGCACGAGGTCGTGGGTATAAAAAAAGGAAAAAAGAAAAATCTTTTTTGAAAAATAAGCGGTAACGTGAGCAGGAACCCTCTTCCAGGAACAGCTGAGTTCGGCAGGCTTCATACTAGTAGCAGAACCAAAAAGGGGAGCAAGCCGCACCTGCCTCCCCTAGCTAAGGTGATCCTAATATCATTTACCTTCTACACTAAGGGAAGTGACACTTGGAGAGGTGCCAGCTCAAATGCCACATCCTGAAGGAAGCCTTCTTTTTTCCTTAAAGAGTTTACAAAGATGACAAAGCAACAAAGATGAAGAAGCAAACGAAGTTGAAAAAAATCTACCCACATTTCTACCCCAAGTTCAAAGCTTGCCATCAAGGTTCATCTTAGGAGGGCTATAAGGGCTGGGGGCTGTGACTTTCAGATTTCAGCATTTGACTGTTGGCCAGACCTACTGGCAGGACTGACAGAGGCTTACTTCATGCCCCTTTAAACTTGAGTGCTATCACCAGACCACCTTGCTTGAGGGCACCGTTAATTAGTCTTTTATAAAGCCTATGATAAGCTTATAAATAGCACAATTACATTGCAGTGCGATTTTTTTTCTGTCAAGTGTTACTTTGTAAATTGGGAATTTTTAAAATATGCCATAATTTTTACCCCTGTGGAAGCAAAGCTGACACCTTGCCCTCCATCATCACAAGGGCGGCACGCACATCACATCTCAGTCCACGGGGAGGAAACAGCACTTTGCACCCTTATATAAATCATAAGACAGGATCACTTTGTTTCATTCTTATCCCCAAATTAAATAATTTTAATTTCATTAATAGATATTAATGATTGATAATTTTATCAGTGGAAATGAATGAATAGATACTAATTTCATTGGTAAAAGTTAATGAAAACTGAAGCCTTTCCTGGAAGTTACTGACTCTTGGCTAAGACAACTTTATCCCTGACTTCCATCGTACTGATGTCTGAAGCTGTGGCTATGTCTGTGAAACTGAAACACCCTAAAATCCAACTGAAGACACATGTGAAAGACTTCAGAGCCAAACTCTTGAGGTTCACTTCTTTTTCAGAAGAAAGGTCTGATACAATGAGTGGACCTAGTTTCCAACAACTGTAAAGGAGGATCCTGGATATTTAAAGCCTGGTTTTGCAATTACACAGAACTGGTTCAAACCTCAGCTGCATCATTCATTCACTATCTTATTTTGGGGAAGTCACTTCCTCTCCCCAGGCTTCAGTTTTCTCTTTTCTGAGGCAGAGATAAGCTGACAAGTCAGCAGATAGCCCAAGCCAGCCCCAGGCAGCCGGACACCTGAGAGTCACAGGGAAGTTGGCAGATCTGATAAACTAGCCCGGCAGCTACCAGAAGAGGACTGGGCTAGGCTGTGGACAACGGCAGCCCAGAGCAGAAGACAGAGCCCCATCAGAGTTTTCAGATAGATGTACCCTTTCTTCTTCCCCACCTTGCCCAGGACAGAATCTGGCCAGCCCTATAGCTGTGGCTACACCATGACTGCAGATTGAGAAGGCATTGGCTAGGTGGGGGTGATTAGAGCCTGAGTGGTGGGGCGGAGGAGGGGTTGGTCCAAAAACAACTACAGGGCAGTGAACTGGCCTGTACCTTAGCAGCCTCTCTTCCACCACCTCTCTTCCCTTTCCCAAGACCCTGGGCACTAGGTTATGGAAACCGTGGGTGGCAGCTTCTAGTAAGAGTCTCACCTGGGCAGAGAGAGGTACAGGGAAGTTCTCCAGAGATGCAGTAGTCTGCTCAGGACAGTACCAGAGAGTCTCCTTCCCAACCCAGCAGGAAAAGTTCAATCTACAGTTGGGCTTTGCCCCCTCCCCTAGGCACTCAGTCCTCGCCTCAAAGAAACAGGAGCTCCCGGGGTAGGTAAGAGACAGTGGAAGGACACACACCCAAAGGAAAGACAACATACAGGGTGACCTTATCCAGACACAGCAGAGTTAATGGACGAGGCAGGACAGGAAATGAAAATACACATTTTAAGTATCACTCTAAAAAGGAAAAGAGGATTTGGGAAATATGAAGGAGGGACAAAAAGTCATACAGAAGAACTATACAGCCAGATAGGAAAAATGTCATACATGAAATAAAGACCTCAGAGGATGGGGTTAATAACAGAGTGGATATAGCCAAAGTCCAAGTAAGCAAGTATGAAGATCGGGTTGAGAAAATTTAAAAAGCATGAAAAAGGTATAGAAATTTTTTTACATGGTACCCCCGTACACACACACACACACACACACACACACACACACACTAACTTAAATTAACTTAAAGTAGGTTATTTCCTCTTGTTTCTTTTTATTCTTATTTTATTATTATATATATTATATATATATATATAT